AGAGAGAGAGAGAGAGAGAGAGAGAGAGAGAGAGAGAGAGAGAGAGAGAGAGAGTGCATGGATGGATGGATGGATGGATGAAGAATGTATGATATATATATACATATATGTATACATACATGTATGTATATGTACAAACATGTATATATGTGTATATATGTATATATATGTGAGAGAGAGAGAGAGAGACAGAGAGACAGAGAGACACACAGAGAGAGACACAGAAAGAGAGAGAGAGAGAGAGAGAGAGGATGGATGGATGGATGAATGAATGGGTAGATGGATGGATGAATGAAGGAAGGGAAGTGGAAGGAAGGAGAGGGATGAGAGAAAAGGGGGAGAGAGAGAGGAGAGAAACGGGATATAGAGATAGAGAGAGAGAAAGGGGGGTAAATAGCAAGGGTAAATACATAAGCTAATTGCATTGTCATTCATTAAAGTATAGATGATCCAAACAGTTACTAATTTTTTAAAAAGCCTCTCTACATGGCTAAAAGACACTACAAAAAACGGCAGCAGTTCATTACTTTCTAGTAAGAGAAACTCTTCATCCCATCTCTGAGTAAATGATGCAGCTGCGATGGGGACCCCCCTGTCGTGACTTGAGTCAAGGGCCAGTCCTGTATCTGTACAAAACCGTTAGATAAGCGCGATGAACACGCACAAAGGAATAATCAAAATGATCACTGGCATGTTTTCACCGCACAAACGCACTGTCCGCAGTTGGAGCACGCTTCCCTGAGCGTTAAACATCCAGAGGCTTCTAAGATTATGTTCGAGCAAAGAGAAGGACAAACTGGTTCGGAAATGAGGTTAGAGGGATGTACTTAAGATCTGAGTCTTCATCCCACAAAATGTTAGCTTAGAAACTTTGTTTTCTGGTCCATACCCTTGCATCTGAACAATATTCAAACCTGCATATTTTATGAGAATGAAAATTCGTATTAGCGAATATCAAGAGTTTATTATTCGTTTTCGCGATTCTTGAAAATCATATTTAGACCATCTCTGGGCCCAAGCTGCGAGGTCCTTCAGGTTCACTCTCTCGCATAGTCAGCCATATCATGGCTGTTAACTTTATTGGGATTGATATTTTGTGTGGCGTTTCGGATGGACAAAAGTAGTCTTAGTTTAATTGCTCCTGAGTGCCAAACACCCAATTATTTGTAGCAAACAAGGCTTTTAGGTCGAGTTAATTTCCGTGAAGAATGCAGTATCCTTTGGACTCTGAGGAGCTCTGTTTTTTATTATGGGATTAAGAGGTCAGATTTCTGTCATTTATTAAGCACTTAGGAGCATGAATTTATACGGCACTGCAACACCAGTTGCAGTACCAGGGTTGCTCCTATAACTAATGTCCTTAGAAAGAAGTCTGATGTGACATCGAAAGTTGAAGTCAGCCAAGCAGTAGTTCCTTGTTCTCATTAATTACTGAAGAGTTGTGATCATCTTGTAGATGTTTGCGTAAATACCACTTTTAGCATTTTTAAGAAAACCTACGTGCAGGCATTGAGAAGGGGAAATTTTAGCTTGTGAATAAATCAAATGACATGTACGAATTTCCATTTTTGATTATATGAAAAATCACGATAATTATGCGGTCATTTCAGAGTGTAGAAAAGTGTTATCCTAGTAGTGACGTGCCTGCACAAAAAGAGCGCTTAACCAAGAAACTAAAAAAAATACTACGTTACTGTTACATTTTTTGAAAATCATTTATGTATAAACGAAATGCCTTCTTACTAGATGTGCAGCTCATTCCTTATACACTTGTGCTGATTTCTTCCTCTGATATTAGATTTCTTAGTTGTTTAAACTTATAAATGATTTTCACATTCTCCTTCAAAACAGGCTGCGTTCAAAGAGAAATTATGTTATGTTATGCATGAAATTATGTTCGCAGATGTTATTTCATTAGGCAAGTATGGCCTCAAGCCATACTTGCCTACTAAGGACTATGGTTTACCAGCATCTACAGTGAGTAAAAGTAGAACGATGGCGACACGTAACAAAATTGAAAATCTGAGTGAAAACGCTGGTGAATTAAGCACAAAAGCTCACTTGGAAGATATTTTTAGTTACTTACAGGTTAGTACCTCTTCGTCCAAAAGTAAAGTAAATTGAAAGTAGTTACTTTAAGTTCCAAAATTGTTGCTCAAGATTCTTACTTCCGGTTAGCTCTTCTCTAGCACCTTAGAGGAGGCAGTGAGAGCTGTATAAATGGGAGCCACAGCTTATGGAGGGATCGTGGGGTTAATCCTAAGAGAAAGTTTGGATGCTGCCTGACATGTTGGGTCAGACTGACCTTTGTTCGAATCCACGAATGAGTAAGCATCGCATTCGCGATGATGGAGCTTGTGTCTCGCCTGCGGTAGTGAAAGGAGACAAACTTATCCAAAACGTGACTGTGAACAGGGGCGTTGAGACAAAGCCTCAAATCAGTATTCACTTATAATATCATTAATGAATTGATTTTAGCAACATAAGCAACCGATAAAAAATCCCTTTGCAACTTTCATTATCACTAATGATGTCTAACTTCATCTTCAGTGGTTAAAATCGCTACCCTCCCTTTCAAGCGAGAGTCGGCATTTTACAAAGCCGAAAGAGACAGTAGATTTGATTAAAAAAGACACCCCGGGGTCAGCTCTCGAGAAACTGGAAAGTAAATGTTGCTGTCGTATCAATCTAGAAAGATTATTGGTCTGTCATTCCCGACGATTGTTCGGACCCAGGCAAGTATCCAGTAAAATAAATTGTGTGGCGCCTTCGACGCTACTGACTGCGAACACGAGCGCGAATCATAATAAAATGACTCACTCATATTTCCACTGTGTGTGGAAGCCAACAATGTGATTAGACGCCCAAAATACAGCTGTGAAACGAGAATCTGAGCAATGACTGCGAAGACCTTGCCTTCGCCCCCATTTCCATTTTTTTACTCCAAACTCAGCACGAGTGACGAACGAAGTTAATGCAACAAAGCCTGGATAGGCTTGAACAGCGTGTGCTGAAATATTTGTTGTTAGTAGATGTTATTCCTTTTAAACTTGTAAATATATAAATCATATATACTCATTATTTCCCGGGTGTCAGTTTGCTAATTCCCACATGTAATAAAATACGCATAAAGAGAGGATAACATAGAACACCCGATATCAGTGCGTATCGTTCTACTCCACACCCCTTGCCATGTGTATGAAATTATTTAAAAATCGAAACCATTGCCATCACGCTTAATGTATTGTTCCCCAAGTGTGAATAATTCTTGGTATTTTCTTTCGTATATTTTCTGTTGTTATAAAAACTTAAGCTTATAGGTTAGCATATAACTAGTTCATTTTGAAACCAACGGATAGCATCAACGAATATCATGAAATTCAAATCAGTACTAATGTTAATTGATTTTTACAATGTGGGTACGTACTGTGACAGGTTGTTATTAATATGTAGGAACTTTAAGTAAATAAGTTCGAAATAAAGATGTTTTAGCTAGAAAAAAGTTTCTCCCTTAAAAGTATATATATTCTTACCAGCCAAGAATGGCTTACTTTGTTCACTCTGCTCTGATAGATTGGCTGTTAGTGGACACAAACAGGGAGGGCGGGAAGCAGGTAGTCACTTTCTTTACTAGGCAAAAATGCAGGCCACTCAGGCTGACTCGGAAGGCTAACCTATTTTTCAGTGCCCTCTATTGTTTTATCTTCAGTAAGGTAAAGCAATAAATGTAGATAATATAGATCTCGAATAAGTAATATGGAGTATTCCTTGATATTTCACGATTCTCGGACATCACTAGGCTATGTAAGTAAGACAAATAGAGAGAAAATGACACTACACAGTGTAAATAGTTTGGCCTACTTTTCATTGCTTTCTGTTGCTTGACTCATAGCGAGATAAGGAAGAAGCTGCATTTCGAAGGATAAATTTTAAATATTTCTTAACATTCTGCAATCACCCGACGCCAGAGAGACAAAGACCAAGCCAGCAGACGAATAAGGCTTAAAAGTAAGTCAGAGGGACAGGGGTCGGGGTAACGGTGTAGGGGGGAGGAGAGGGAGAGGGGTGGGGGGGGTCTTGAATATGTGTTATCGGATAATGAGTATACAAAAAATTCAGTTACAAAATGAAAGATTTCTTCACACCATTTAACTGAACCAAGAGACGACAATTTATGTTTTCTTTGCTATTATTTCTTAATTTTCAAATATTTTTTTTCAGCCAAAAATAAAACGAAACACAAGGCGATAGGATATTACAGGGGTAGTGGTTAGTTGATCTTTATCTCCCGAAATACAGAAACCAATACAAAACGTATAATGAATAAAAATGCAAATAAACTTCTGAATACTCTCATGAAATAAGCTGTCAAATAAAAGCACACAAATTATTAGGGAAAACGGATAAATAATGATTTTCCACAGAATAACGAAAGCTGGATATTCACAGTGACAGGCCATGGAATTGTTGGTGACAGTGTATTACTGACGTATCTTTGTTGATTGCAAATACGCAAAAACATAGATTTCCCTCACATTCAACTTTACTTTTCTTGATAATGACATTTATTTATTTATTTATATATTTATTTACTAATTCTTGCATGTTCAGATAATAACTAGAATTCATACTTCTCAGCGAGCGCCATACTTCAAGTGGCTCCAACTGTGAGCTGTGTATGTAGACTATCAGCCGAAAGCACTCTGAGAAGGCAAACCGCCAAACCACCCCGAAATTCATATTTTGCAATGACTGAAGTTTATATACAGATGCATGTACACACACACTATGTGTGTGTATATATGTATATATATATATATGTCTGTATATAAGTGTGTGTGAGAGAGACATTCACAAGAATATATGTTCGAGAAACATCCAATGCACACGCCAAAAACTGGTTGAATGATGAAAACAGGCTACTGCTTTTGTTACGTATAACTATTGTTCGTCAACTTTTTTCACATTTCGATTTCAAGATGTCATCTAGTTTTTCTTACCTAATAGTAGTTGGTTCTTTGCACTTTCCCTTCTGTTCTTCGTTCCGCACCTGACAGAATATATCGACTTTCAGTAAGGATGAGTTCGTACATGACACACCTGAGAATCTTTATACACACATACGTGGTAAATGCACGAACTGAATACTGTTTTACCTAGACTTGATATTCATAACATTTTTGTGTCACCATTTTATAACCATCATAGGAATAAACTCTTAATTTATAGACACTAATGTAGAAAAGAGGATAAACCACATAATGATTTTATGTTAGTCTACATTTCCTACAAAAGAGGAATTTGGCAACGGCGCCAAAGCAGAAGAGCACATCAGTTAGAGCACACATGTTCAAACATTTGGAAAGAACAGATGCAACCATTGTAATGACTACACTCTTCCTTGTCCACACAATAACACATACGTAGGGACAGCTCTTCGGCTGTGATGATTATGCTCCTCCTGCATTTCCTTCACTGATAATTTGAAAGAGTTGCCACAAATGCACTTGCTTAATAGACTTCAGTGGAGAAAAGAGCGTATAACAGAAAGCCTCATTTCAAACTTATCTATAACTTCAATGCTGAGACTAAGATGACCCAAATATTTAACACAGTGAAAATCGTTGTAATAGTAATGGATGTATTGAAAATACTTTTAAATGTTAAGAAACAACAAACAAGTAATAACTAAAATGATAGTAAGTATAATGATGATAATAACGACCATAATTTAAAAAGCAATGGTGAATATTGTCGTTATTGTAATAGCAACAGTAATATTAAATATTATTTGTTCCCAATATTATCTAGACATTTTTATATATCTTATTTTTTCCTTATTATAGCTACATATATATACCAGTTTACTATATATCTACAGAATTGTGCTACAGCGTTGATTTTTTTTCAACAGTCCTAATTCATTTATTGTCTCGCTGCTTTAGCTGTTTTGTGTAAATGACATTTCACTCTTGAGGTTTCGATCTGTGATAATAATAATATATACATTCTCTGTTTTATTTCAGCTTCTAACACATCATTGAAGCATGTCATGTGATATACAGCTGCATATAACAACCCTCACGTATGTGTGCCACCTGTTGACATGCATTGTGTGTGTGTGTGTGTGTGTGAGAGAGAGAGAAAGAGAGATAGAGAGAGAGAAGATAGAGAGAGAGAGAGAGAGAGAGATAAGATAGAGAGAGAGAGAGAGAGAGAGAGAGAGAGAGAGAGAGAGAGAGAGAGAGGAGAGAGAGAGAGCGAGAGAGAGAGAGAGAGAGAGAGAGAGAGAGAGAGAGGAAAGACAGAGAGAGGAGAGCGAGAGAGAGAGAGAGTCATGTGATATACAGCTGCATATAACAACCCTCACGTATGTATGCCACCTGTTGACATTCAGTGTATGTGTGTGTGAGAGAGAGAGAGAGAGAGAAAGAGAGACAGACAGACAGACAGACAGACAGACAGACAAACAGAGAGACAGAGAAAGAGAGAGAGAAAAAAAAAGACAGAGAGAGAGAGAGGAGAGAGAGAGAGAGAGAGAGAGAGAGAGAGAGAGAGAGAGAGAGAGAGAGAGAGAGAGAGAGAGAGAGAAAAAAAGAGTATGCATATATGTATGTGTATGTGTATGTATATGTATATACATATGTATATATACATATATATATGTATTATATATACATATATATATATATATATATACATATATACATATATATATACATATATATATATATATATATACATATATATATATATATATATATATATATATATATATATATATACATATACATATATGTGTGTGTGTGTGTGTGTGTGTGTGTGTGTGTGTGTGTGTGTGTGTGTGTGTGTGTGTGTGTGTGTGTGTGTGTGTGTGTGTGTGTGTGTTTGTGTGTGTGTGTGTGATAGCTCATTGGTTAGAGCACTGGACTCCGACCCTCGTGGTCCCGGGTTCAATTCCTCGTCGCGGCAGTCGTAAAAATGCCTACGCTCTGACTGCTAGAGAAAACGACATATCGGTTTGAAAAATCAAAATACAGGTGTCGTAGGGGAAATCGTTAAATTATATACATACATATATATATATATATATATATATATATATATATATATATATATATATATATATATATATATACATATATGGTAGAAAAACCGACAATGTAAAAACTAGATTTATTGAAAATAATACGACAGTTTCGGAATCCACCTGGATTCCATCCTCAGGTCTGAAGAGGAAAGGGAGAAGAAGGGGTATAAGAGAGAGAGAGAGGAAAGGCAACGCGGTGACACGGGGCAGGTGAGGACAGACGGACGGAGGCGAATGGAGGTCAGATCAGGTTGGAGGGTCGGGCGGATTGTGTGCAGGATGGCCGGCGTACGGGAAAAGGCCGGAGGATGTGTGAAGCGGGGAGGCTGTCGGCGGGAGAAAAGCCGCTGTTCAAGTTGAAATTAGGTAGCAGTTTTATTAAGGAAGATTCCACCAGTCTGCGGGCGTGGACGTCAGCGGAAGGGAAGACAATTCGCGCCGCTGACCAGTCCATCTGATGGCCTGTATCCCACTGATGGCAGAAGAGAGCGTTGTTGTTGTGTCCCCTGGATATAGCATACTTAATGTTGAGACAAGCGCTTGGTGAGACTGGCGCCCGTCTCGCCAAACTATTGCTTTTCACAGGAGCTGCAAGGAACAGCATAGATGCCCACCTTCGAGGAAGAGGGAGGGCTGGTGTGGACCAGGTTACGACGGAGAGTGTTCACCTGGCGAAAGATCAGCCTGCTGTTGAGAGTATGAAGAGGGGGGCGGAGAGAGTAGATCTCCTCCGTGTAGGGCAGGCTGAGGACGGACAGGTGAGGAGTCTCTTTAGGAGAGGACTCGTGGTAGAAGGTCCGCCATGCTCTGGATAACGCGGCGTCGAGGACATGACGAGGGTAGCCCAGTTTGGAGAACGAACGACGCAGAAAGTCGATCTCTCCATCCAGGTACTGGGGGTCACAGATGCGGAGGCGCGGAGGAACAGCGACGTGGCAACACCTCTCTTTACATGGAGAGGATGGTAAGAGAAGAAGTGTATATGCATACCACTATGCATGGGCTTCCTGTATATGGAGAGGGAGAAGTGGTCAACAGAGCGATGAACTAGGGTGTCCAAGAAAGGGAAGCTGGTTGTCAACCTCCCATTCCACCTTGAAACGGATAGAAGGGGAGAGAGAGTTGGGTCAGGAAGTCCGAGAACAGGGCAGGGTCATGAGGCCAGAGAGCGAAGACGTCGGCAACATACCTCAGCCAAACCGTAGGACGAAGGGAGAAGCTCAGATTCGAAGAATTCCATAAACAGGTTAGCCAAGACCGGAGAGAGGGGAGAGCCCATGACAACAGCGAAGGTCTGGGAGTAGAAGCGACCCTCAAAGGAAAAGGAGTTCGATTCCACACACCGACGAATCAGCTGGAGGAAGACGTCGGTGGGCAGAGGGAGACGAGGATCCACTGGGGGGAGGCTCCTCTCAAGGAAAGCGAGGACGTCATCTAGCGGGACCTTGGTGAACAGGGAGTCGACATCCAAGCTCATCGCCGGCGGGACACCACGGACACGGGCGATGAAGTCCTGGGAATGACGGAGGTGAGCAGGAGAGAAGTGCCGAGAAGGGGAGTGAGGGACTTCGCCAGCCAAGCTGCCAGAGGGTGCGTCACAGATCCCCGGGAAGAGATAATGGGGCGCAGGGGCACGGCCGGCTTATGGGTTTTAGGAAGCCCATAGAAGCCTCCTCGCTTCACACATCCTCCGGCCTTCTCCCGTGCGCCGGCCATATTGAACACAATATATATATATATATATATATATATATATATTTATTTATATATATATATATATATATATATATATATTTATAAATGTATGTATGTATGTATATGTATGTATATATATATATATATATATATATATATATATATATATATATATATATATATATATAACTGCCGCGATAGCTCAGTGGTTAGAGCACTGGACTCCGACCCTCGTGGTCCCGAGTTCGATTCCCCGTCGCGGCAGTCGTAAAACTGCCTGCGCTCTGACTGCTCGCTCGAGCCCGAGAAAACGACATATCGCCTTGAGAAGTCAAACGCAGGTGTCGTAGGGGAATTCACCGCCGCGGCCGAAACGCGGTTGATTAGGAAGGGCATCCAATCAGGCAACGGTGACACTGCCATATAACCTCTCAGTACTGAATTGAGAGAGGCCTATGTCCTGCAGTGGAATGAATGGCCGTTAAAAAAAAAAAAAAAAAAAAAAAAAAAAAAAAAAAATATATATATATATATATATATATATATATATATATATATATATATATATATGTGTGTGTGTGTGTGTATATATATATACATATATTGAGAGAGAGAGAGAGAGAGAGAGAGAGAGAGAGAGAGAGAGAGAGAGAGAGAGAGAGAGAGAGAGAGAGAGAGAGAGAGAGAGAGAGAGAGAGAGAGAATTCTCCGTGGTAAAAATCCCTCTAATATCTTGGTATATTAACATGTATATATATATATATATCAGCATGTATTTACACCAGCCCAATCTATTTTTCATTAAAATATTGATGATAATCAACCGTATGTTTTCACTCGAAATACTGGTTACTTATTTTCCAATGCAAAATTTGTGTCAGCTAGAAACTCGTGTAAACAAGTCCAGCTGAGACGTGGGGTTGGAGAGAGCCTTGGCATGATAGCTCGTGCCAGCCTCCTTAGCAGTGCATTTTGTCAGATTGGGCACTCCAGGAAATTTCTGCACAGTTGGAGGAAAGTGTTCAAGATGTCTGAAAACAAAGTAGTTGTGACCCACGAGGAAAATGCCTCCATTGTGGGGATATCGTTTAGATATAAGAATGAAGTTAGTCAAGTCGATAGGACGTTTAATT